AAATAAGTAAACTTTATTTTTATATTATTTATTACACAAACATAGATATTGGGGAAAATGACACCAAGGCTCCATTAAGAGTGAAGCCTTGTTTGGTGTTGATTTTAAATCAATTAAAATTAATTTTTTTTATCGTTGTTTTACTATTTCAGTCGTTATTTTTGAATTCTTTTCTCACAAATGGAACCCACTTTATCTTTAACGATTAAAAAATCAATTCTCAAAATCTCTACCAAACAAGCTGTATAGTATTAATTTGGATCTGACGATTTTAAATATAGGGTCTGTTTGAGTCACATTATTCCAAAAAATGCATTATTAAATAGTGATTTGACATCATTTCAACCACACATTCTTCAATAAAATAATATTACACGCAAATCAAAAACTTTTCCTTATTTTTTAACCACACACTTCTCATCAATACACTATTCAAGAATGCATTATTACCAAAATAATGTGGCTCTAGCACCCTCATAATAAATATTTGAGTTATGTTAGCTAGTTGGCATTATATGATATATACAACTAATGGATCCCGTATTTTTTCATTCAATTTAGGTCCTGTTTGAGCCCCATTTTTACATCATTAAAATAAAAAATATGACCATTATCCATCACATCAAGCCACCATTTTTGAATTTCTATCTCTTGTGTGGGGCTCATAACAACTCTATTTTTCATTCTCATTCTACAAATAATATGGCTCAAACGAGCTCTTAGTTAGGTTTATCTTGTAATTTCAACTTGTCTCGTATTTCAATATTAATGGTATTAGATAATATTATTTTAAATATCTCTGTTGGGGCTCCATTTTTTGAAAAAAAAAATGTATTTATTGAAGTCATTTTTAACTACATATTCTTTCATAAAATAATGTTACATTAAAAAATTTTCTTATTTTTTAATCATAAATTCTTTAAAAAATAATTATTCAAATCATATTTTCTTCCAAAATCTCAAGGCTGTAATCCAAGACTGTGAGCGAAGAATAAAATAATGATTCTGCCTTGTAGTTAAGGAGGAAGACAACCACCAGGCCCACAGAAAACGGTAGAACGTGGTTTAAAAAATTGACAAACAAGACTAAATTTATAAAGTGGTTTACTTTTTAAATGTTACTTAAGGCTTGATCGATTATGATTATGAGAATTGATTATTTGATAGTTAGAAAAAAAGTAGATCTTACTTGTGAATGAAGAAGTCAAAAATGACAATTGAAATAGTAAAATAATAATAAAAAATTGATTTTTTTGATGAAAATTTCCTGCCAAACATGCACTTTGGGTGCATTTGGTTGCAAGCATGAAATTTGTATAGAAGGAAAATAAATTTTAGGTAATTCAATTGTCTAGAACTTATTTATGTGAAAATTATCAACTAAATGTGTTTGATTAATCTAATTTTCAATCTAAAAAATATTATACTTATCCAATTTTTATTGATGGGACGGATGGGAGAGAGTGGATGGGGGAGAGAGTAGGAGAGTGAATTCCATGAAAAATAAAATTATATTCTCCATAAAGAAAATATTTTATTTGATTTGGAGGAAAATATGGTTATGTGGTCAAAAGTAGGAAAATATTTTCCATGAAAAAAAGTCAGTCAAACACAAAAAAGTAAGAATTTGGGTGGAAAAATATTGACAATCAAACGTACCCTTAATATTTTTAATCTTTGCTCATTATAATACTTATGTTCTTAACAATTTTCCGTGTCATTCTTATTTTCTAATTTTTCATTAGTTAACACATATTGTATTTGATAGCAGTTTTATATTCAAAAGTCTATTAAAATAGCATAAAACAGCTTATTTTTCCCCATCATATTTTTTAAAAAACAAATAAATAAAACTTGTAAAAAATTTTTTTTCCCTCATTTCAAAACATGAAAACAAAATATTTGGTTATAAATTATCATCAAAGACGAGACGTGCTATTTAATGGAAAGTTGAAAATGAGAATTCGACGAAAAAAATTAAGAAAATAATTGTTACAAAATGACCAAATATTGAGGAGTTTCACTGCGATTATAATGTGGTTTATCAAATAAAAATTGTTGTAGCAATATAGAGCCTGTTTGGAAGTGATTTTGAGAATTAATTTTTTGACCGTTAGGAAAAAAGTGGGGTCCACCTGTGAGAGAAGAAGTCAAATATGACGGCTGGAATAGTGAAATAACGGTCAAAAAATCTGAGGGTGTTTGGTAGGAATTTTTATGTGAAAATGCATTTTTGAATAGTAAATTGATGGGAAATGTGTGGTTGAAAAATAAGAAAAAGTTTTTGATTTACGTGTAATATTATTTTAATAAAGAATGTGTGGTTGAAAATAAGAGAGAGAAAAATGCATTTTGATAAAAATGGATGAAAAACGGGACCTCAATTTTTTTGGTGAAAAAATCAGGCCCAAACAGACCCATAATCTCTCTCAACTTTTTCATCTGACTTGAGGTGAAATAATAAGATCATTTAATTGTGTAAATATAAAATTCATTTTATTGACAATATCATTTTACGTCAACTGTTGTCTCAATTTAGTGGGAATTAAATTTAATTTTTTTTATTAAATTTTGATAAAGAAAATGATGAAATATATAATTAAAATATTTTGAACCCTCAAATGATTTAAAATAGATGGCCCCCGTAAAATCCCTATCCAATTGACGTGTAGAAGAGGTCTACTCCTTGAAAGGGCGAAGCATCACATGCAATTAGGTGAGGGGGTCGCAAGTTGGAATACCGTACTTCACTTTATTAACCCTACCATTAAAAATCAATGGGATCACTGTTGCTTTTTCTTCCAGCAACTAGAGTTGCTTGTTTGGTAGAGCTTTTAAGTTAATTTAAATCAATTTTTTGACCGTTGTTTCATTATTTTAATCGTTATTTTTTAATTCTACTCTCATATGCAGGATTTACTCTATCTCTAACGATCAAAAAATCAATTATCAAAATTCATACCAAACAAGCACTCAAAATTCATGATTATATTTGTTATTTTAAGAGCTTGTTTGGGAGTGATTTTGAGAATTGATTTTTTGACCGTTAGGAGAAAAGTGGGGTCCATCTGTGAGAGAAGAAGTCAAATATGACGGCTGTAATAGTAAAATAACGGTCAAAAAATCAATTTTTTGGGTGAAAAAATCGGGCCCAAACAGCCCCTAATTGTTTTTCCCCTTAATTTTTAGAAAGTATAGAGTGATTTCATAATGATATTTTTTGTAAAAATTGATTTCTCATTAAAAAGAACAAATTAGAGTTGACCTAAAAAAAAATTATTATAAAAATGACCTCTATGATATAAACTTTTGTTGCCAATTTTTTTATATTTAATGTGTTTAGTTTCTAAAAGTAATGTTATTTGCAGTCGCTCACTGTCATAGTCACTCTACGTAGCATACATGTGACGGTTAATGATTTGATACAATAATATATTAGTTTTTTATTGCTTTATGCATTAAATCACTAACCGACACATATGTGTCATGTAGAGTGATTGCGATAGTGAGCAACTGCAAATAACATTATTCTTTGGGAATATATTTTTCTCTTTCTTACTTTTAGCTACATATCTTTCAATAAAATAATATTACTCAAGAACTTAAAATTTTTTCATATTTTTAATCACACATTTTGCATTAAAATACTATTTTAAAATGTATTTTGGACAAAAAAAAAAAAGGGTTTAAACAAGCTCTTAATGTGACAATAATATTACTTTAATTTTATAATATTAGTATAACATAAATTGTCCAAGAGTATAAAAAAACGAACATTAAATAAAATGCTATTAAATCTAGCAATATAAATATTTAGCCATTGTTTGAGCCTCAGTCCTGAGGTCAAAAGACATTTTGGAAGAGTATGGTAGAGAATATGCGGTTAAAAAATAAGGAAAATTTTGAATTTACGTGTAAAACTATTTTATACAAGAATGTGTGGTTGAATATGAATTTTGAAAAAAAATGAGTTTTTGAAAAAAAATGAAAGCCAAACATAGACTAAAATGGAGCCTAAATGGTGGGGCTTAATAATTTATTAATTTTTTTTGAACCGTTACATAGAAAAATATGTCATGACATAGATTTGAATCCCACCGCCACCATTTGGCCCTTTGTATTAACACAAGTCAAGCCAACCCCGAAGAAACTAGTTCCCCCTTGACTGCGACATCTACGTTTAATTTCACTTGAATATTTAATGAATTTTCAATTAATTATTTTTAAAAAAATTATTTATGTAGTCTCGATATAAAGTTTTAATCATATTTGAAAAAAAAAAGAGATAGAGAAAGAAAAATGGAAAATCACATTTTTTTTATAATTATAAAAATTTTATAATAATATTGCAATGGTATTTTTAATTAAATTAATCTCATTAGAGTAAAAAATATGAAAAAAGTTTATATCTTTAATAAATAATATAAGAAAGAAAAGAATATAATTTAAATATAACAAAAATAAAAATGTTAAAATAGTGTAGAAAAGTAAAGATTGAAAAATAAATATTTGCTTTATGCTAAGAGGGGAACTTGTTACCAAACATAAACTTCATAAAAAATTTACTCAACATAAAAATAATGTTTTAAAAGTCGGATCGGCCCCGGCCGGTTCAATCGGGAAGTGGGATCGAAACTGGTCTGATTATGTTTAAAAAACCTCTAATTGAAACTTATATTTTCTTAAATCTTTAAAATGTATATAGATAATTTTTGTAAATGTATATTTTTTAATCTCTTTTCGGATCGATTTTTAAGACATTGATAAAAAAAATCCTCCTGAGACTCGTGAATAGTAAAAAAAAAAAAATAATAATAAATAAATAAATAAAAAGGACGTTGGCTTTCGTTGTAACGTAAATAAAAGAAGAATGAAGGGCACTAAAGCGAATTCCCACGCAATCAATGATGCAAAAAGTATTGCTGGCCAATAGATTCTGAACCCACCCGCCTACCGCCCCGCCGTAGTTTACACTTTCTCTCTTTATATTCCACATTATTCCCCCCTAAACACCCCACATTATTTCTCTGAAATTTCCTTCCCAACTTACAAAGAAAAAAAGGAGCATGGATCAGTTGGCTGGTAGAAGGCCTTATTTCATAGAGAAAGATGATGGATTGGCCTCCCTTACAATGAACCAGCATCACTACTCTTCGATTTATAGGCCAAATATTACTGCTTTATCTGAACCCCATTTCTTGGAAGCTTGTTTTCTTTGTAAGAAACGACTGGGAGAAAACAAAGACATCTACATGTACAGAGGGGACACACCGTTCTGCAGTGTAGAATGTCGACAACAACAAATAGAGAACGATGAAGCCAGAGAGAAGAGCTGGAATCTCTCTGGATCGATGACAGCCTTGAGAAATAAGGATAAGAAGAGGACATCAAACTCACAAGAATACCCTTTACAAACCGGCACTGTTGCAGTTGTTTAACCTTAACTTCTTTCTTTCTTTTCTCAAAAAATCCCTCAAGAAAAGAGAGACAGAGAAAAAAAAAAGAGGAAAATTTAAGCATTTTCCTTATGTAATATATGGACTGTATTAAATGATATCCCTTTTCTGGTTTTGTGCTGCGAGCCTGCGAGATCGTCTCTTCTTCTTCTTTGAGGGATTTGTTTCCACTTCTCTTTTTCTCTTCCTATCGTTGGAGCCTGGAGGTGGGCCGACCCGCTTGAGCATGTTGGGCTTAAGCTTAAAGCATGTTTGGAAATATTAGAAAGCAAGTTTTTTTTTTTTAAAAAAAATATTTAAAAAAATCGAAATTAAAATAATAAGATACTTATTTTGACAGCATACCAAGTCCATGTTTGGTGCAGACAAGATTCAGATTTTAATCTAAGTCAATAACTACATATTTCATACATTACAAAAATTTTTAACCATATTTTTCATCAATATTTATCAAAATCTAATTTTAATCCCCACCAAACAGAGACTAATAATTGCTTTATAATAAGCATTTTTTTTAAGCAAGAGACGAAGCAATTCATCTAAATTACTAGTGCAAACAAAAAGTTAAATAAAAGTATTTTTTTTTAAACTTATTTTTAAGCTATAGCCATGACTTATTTTCAATTAAATTAATAAAAAAATATTTTGTTATGATACTTATTTACTATAAGTAAATTTCTGAGCTCAGACAGAAAATAAGTTTTTGGAAGTCATGATTATGAGCATGTTTGGTATGGCTTATGCTTACAAATAAATGACACCACCTCAAACATGCTCTGTCTCTATGAGCCATGAATCCTTTAAAGTACCATCATAAAATTAATCGTTAACTCGCATGAGTTCACATACTTGTAGGTCGATTAGTATGTTTCCCGTTGGAAAAATTTCCCAGTCACAATTTGTAGGAGTTTGGACCAACTCTCAGTCTCTCAGTAGTGCATGCTAATAAATGGACAAAACACATTTTCAATATCGAAGATGATGCATTAAAGTGATTGAGGTTTAAAGAGTTAATATGAAGTGAAGGGAATATTTTAATTTCAAAACTACAACAATTGAATTACTTTTTATTGTTAACTTGTTTTATTACTGTTTAAGCTACTGTTTAATCTATTTTTAGGTAAAGTTTTAAAATACGATAATGCATTTCGTGTGAACATCAAGCATGACAAGTATATGCATAATTATACATTTTTCAATTTTTAATATTTTAAATTAATAAATAAAATAATGCCTTGTTTAAACGTTACACATATTCTTTAAATTTTTTCAAATAATATTGCTCAAAATTATAATTGCTACAATTACTTGAACTTTAAAAATTGAAGCAAGAATAAAATTTGATTAAAAAACTAGAACCTTTAAAATCATCAACATAAAGATGGATGAATTTGATAAATACTTTTTCCTGAAATTAAAACAGAGGAGAAAAAGAACCTTCAAAGCTCTGATTAGGTGAGCAATAAAAAAAAGAAAAAAGAATACACCTTCCAATTTATGCTCAATGAAGATCTCAGAGCGAAACTAAAGAAATGCAAAAGAAGAAGGAAGTTCAAGCTCGATATGAATAATTTGCAACTCTATGAAAAATTTGTTTTGGTTTTTTATATTTTTAAGATGGTGTATTTAATTGAGACTTTTAATAACTTTTTGAGATTTAAAAAGTTAAAAAGTTATTGGGTCAATGCAGATTTTTTTTTGACTCTCTAAAAGTATTGATATATTCAATTCAGACTTTTAAAAGTCCCCAGAAGTCAAGGTCTATTCAATTAAAACTTTTTAAAAGTCTCTATAAGTCTTGAAGTATTCAAATTTCAATAGCTTCCAGACTTTTATAAAAGTATCTAAGATACTAACTTTTAAACAAAAAGTACTCATATAAAATCTCAAAATTTATCTTTCATTAAAAACAAGATTTTGGGAGATTTTCACCAAAAAAACAAAAAATAATATGTATTTATTTTCAATATTTCTCTTTCCTTTTTCTTTCTTAGAACATTATAGTTATGATTAAAATTTATTTTTATATTTTGTTTTTAGGGTAACTGGCACAAAATGTCCCTACCTTTCATGTTAATTGTAGAAAATATCCATACCTTTCATTTTTTGACATTTTCGTTCTTATTTCAACATTTGGTTGAGCAAAACATTATTTTCCTTATTTTTGAACGTAAAATGACTATTATACACTCTTATTTAAAACATAAAACCAAAAAAGAAAAGAAAAATAAAGCACAAATTGCAATCACACTCCCAAACATTTTGAAAAAATATAAATCAGTCCAATAAATTATAAAAATTACAAAAAATCATATCTTTCTTCTCTCCTATTTTGGCTTCAATTTTCGGCCCTATCTTGAAGCTCTCACTTTCCTCTTCGTAACCCACCCAAGAGTCGAATAGGATTTGATCAAATCAAAGTGACAGAAAAAATCTATAGATTCGTTTAAATTTGAAATCTCTATTATACATGCTCACTCGGTCCTCACTTGTAATATTTTTACTTAATGGGAATGACAGCGGAACTAGTTTAGGGTGGGGATTCCACTCCCCGTAACAAATAATGCGGGTCAGTCATGTACAAGGCAGGGTGAGGCGAAGAACTTCCGGTCCTCATTTGTAATATTTTTATTTTTTAATTAAATTAATCATTATTAAATATTAAAAAGATAATGGACTCTACATTTTTATAGTACATCTTTTAAGGGAAGAATTCACAAATCATGGTTTAACTATTCACAGTTCAAGACCCATGTTTTAAGTTTAACTAATGCAAAAATCAGGTTTTAGTTAGTTAATTAATTTTTTTATTAATTAAATATAATGAGGTCACATTTATACAATTAATAGTCACATGAACATAATTATAGGTCACATATTTTTTTATTAATTACATATCATCAAATTAATTGGTCACAGATTTTTTCGAGGTCACAAATCAAAAACTTCGTAGGTCACAGATAATTTCGAGGTCACATATCAAAAATTGTATAGGTCACAAGTCATATATTTTCAAATTTAATGGTCACAGATTACTTTTTAATTACAATTGATCGAATTTCAAGGTCACAGATTACAGTCACGGGACCAAATTAGTTGGTCACAGACACCCAATCTCGAGCCACCCTCACCCCCTCACCCGGCACCATCACCAATGCCACACAAAATCCCCACCAGTCCCCGTTACTACTGCCACCGCCACCGCCACCGCCACCGCCACCAACACCAACAAAAACACCCACGACCCAGGTCAAATCAAATGCCAACCGCAGCCACCAACCATCACCTCATTCGACAGAAACCACCTCGACTGCCACCACCAAACCCACCTACAATACCCAACCCACACCCTCACTAACACCACTCACATCACCCCTGCCGGCTGCCAGCACTAGCACCTCCACCACCAAACACAACAAAAACACAACCACCGCCAGAGTTATGCTCACCACCTCACAACAATGGTCAATTCGTCGGAGCCGTCTTCATCGTTGCAGCGACAAAGATCAGAGGTCGCGCACAGTTCGTCGCAGCGACAAAGATCTGAGGCCGCGCACAATTCGTTGCAGAGACTCTCAGATCCAAGCACCGCCACAGATAGCCAAGCACGAACATGGCGAAGAAGGTGGAATCCCGGAAAAGGTGATCGGCGAAGCTCTGTAGTGATGATACCACAGCCGCGTAGAGCTCCTGGAGAAGGTGATCGACAGCGATGCTTCGCGTAGTGGCGGTCCAAGCACTGTGGTCGCCTGCATGATTGGGCGCCAGATTGCTGCGCGTGCAGTGGAAGTCGGCCGCCTGGATTGTACGTGTGAGAGGGAAGGCAGCGTTGCCTGTGGTTGGTTTAAATTGGGTAAGATTTTAGGGTTTGATTAATATAAGTTTTTAAATTAAAAATAATAATAGTTACAAACCTGGTTTTTGAAGAAATAAACTTCTTACCTTGATTATGAACTGTGATTTTTAAATACCTGCTTTTATGTAATTTCCTCATCTTTTAATGTTTAGTCCATTAGCGTATTTTCTATATTTTATATTACACTATATATATAAATATAATTACATAAAAAATTATTAATGAGTATAAGGACGGGATAGTGGACGAGACAATTATCCTCGTACTTGATTCGAGACAGAGATTTTAGCCCTGTCCGCAGGGATTGGAAAATTTCTATCGACCAAGTTGTCATCCCTGTAAATATGAAAAAAAAAAAAGAAGAAGAAGAAGAAGATAAAAAAAGGGGAGAAAACTAATATTTAATCTTATTTCTTAAATTGCTTAGAGTAAGTTTGATTGCTAGTTTTTTCACGAAAAATGTTATTTTCACCCAAATTCCTATTTTTGTACCGTTTGATTGATATTTTTCAACTTTTAGCCATATGAACATATTTTCCTTGAAAATAGGGAAAATATTTTCTTCATAAAATGTAGGTTTTTATTTTTCAGATAATTCACTATTACCTTTTCTCTCATTTACCCACCAATAAAAAATAAACAAGTATAACATTTTTTAGGTTGAAAATTAAATCAATCAAACACATTTAATTGACAACTTTCATTTAAATAATATTTAAGCATTTCAATTGCATAGAATTCATTTTCTTTTCATGTAAATTTTATACTTGCAATCAAATATATCCTTATTGTTTTAAGTTTCGATGTGATTGTGTCTCTAGGTGTACTTGAGGTTTGGTGCAAGAGATTTTGTGTAACTATATAGTAATTTTTCACATAGTGCAATAATTATCTTTTATGTTTTGCAAGTTTTTCTCCAACTTTAAAGTTTTACTAAGTACTAGTGAGGAAAACATGCCTTGTACGTTTGTTGGTGAATGTTAAATGTAAGTGCATATTATATTCATTAATCATCTTAATATTTGAGATGAAAATTTTTTTAAATCAAGATAATGATTAAAATTGAGAGTCATAATCTTAAGGATTATCCTCCAACGAATGGAATTCAAATCCGATTTAAATTTATCGAGATATAACCAAAACAAAACTTACTAAAAAAAAAGAAACAATGCATAAACAAAGGAATTTTCCCAAGTTGGCCCCACATCATCAACAAAACCGTTGATTTTTGTTCATTGACACGTTTCCAACCAAATTTGACTAAAA